ATATTGTTTATATAAAAAGTTACAAAAATTCATAATACGCGCCAAGCTTTCATCTTTACATGAAACACAAATAAGGAGAGTCAAAATGCATTTTCGTAGTGGATAGGTTATCAACCATTTCTTTAAATACTTGGCGAATTACTTTTATATACTTAAAACTACATTTTGTCTTTACAATATGGTATTTATTCTTTTCAGATTGTACATTTTAACATTAAAACCTCTAAAAATACATTTTTTTTGTACTTTTTTAAGGCTCTTAACATCTTATTAATACTTAAAAATACATGTTATAAACTCAAAACATGCAATTTTATAGACATTAAGTTAAAAGTTGGTTTTTGAACTTTTTCGTTGAAGGAATCTGAGCAACATTTGATTTCAAAATTTGATACAGCACGATAAAAAATTAAAAATTGCACATAAAAACATTTATTATCTATGTTTTTTAATTGAAAATGTTTTTTTTATCTCTTTTCTGCAAGCTTTTCCAAAAAACCGCATCTTATTACTTTATAATTATGCATCAATATTATCATTTAGGTAACCTTGTTTTGTGATTTTTTTTTACTAAATTTCAACAAAAGCGGGCAAATTTGTGCAGGAAATACGTTCTTTTGGACTATGATGTGGGCTATGATTTTGGACTATGATTGGACAATGATTGTGGACTATGATTGCACTATGATGTGGACTATGATTTTTAACTCAAAATTACCAGCGTGGTACTTATTCCTTACTTCAATATCTTGTAGTGAGCTGTAGAAAAATAGCTATATACATATAGAGGTATATACATATAGAAAAACCATTTTTATTGTTTCCATCTTAAAGCAATAAAAAATATAAATTTCTTTTATAATTAACCTTAATAAACTTTAAATGTTACAGTAAGCGTTGCGTAAATTGTCGATTGGATATTAGTACCTTCCTAAATACCCGCTTGAAACGTGACGATCGGTATAAAAAGTTTCGCCTGGCCGGACCCGTAAAAACACGGGTCTTTGTAAATCTATTCTATAAAAAAAAAAAAAAAAAATTAACATAGATTTACATTTATAAAAATGCATAAAAACATTTAAAATGTAATGTTTAAGTATGAATACATACAATACCAAAATAATACATAAAAATGCAAAACACATTACTTTATACTGATCCTCTTGGTACGTCCGATGAAGCAAAAAAAAAGGAAAATGTAAAAAAAAACTAAAATAAACTACATAGTCATGAAACTTCATATACACAAAAAAAAAAAATCAATTTTTATGTTTTAATGCACATAACACCCACAAAACTACCTAACTATGCAAAACACATTCCCGGAAATAACTGGCAGGGGTGCTGTTGTACAAGCAAATTAAAAAAAAAATTAAAGTTTAAATTAACACAAATGTCATTCATAAAACTGCATACAAAATTAAAAAATGTAAAGCGTTAGTTTTTACACCTATAAAACTGCATAAGTATGCAAATTACACTACCTGGTACAACTGCAAGGGGTGCTATTGGAGAGACTAGAAAAGAATAATTAAAGTTTAAATTAACACAAACAAAACATTCATAAACAAGATTCAAATCAAAAAATAAACAAACTGATGCAGTTTTATAGGTGTTATGCTTAAATACGCAAAACACCTATAAAACTGCATCAGCATACAAAACACACTACCTGATACAACATACAATGATGCGTCTGTGGAGACATAAAAAAAAAATTATTTTCAAATTAACATAGATTTAACAGTTATGAAACTGCATACAAACATTAAAAATGTAATATTTCAGTTTGAATACATACAACACCCAAAAAATACATAAGTATGCGAAACACATTACCTGATACTGATCCTGTTGGAACCTCTGTGGAGGAAAAAAAAAAAAGTTAAAAAAAATTAACTATGCAGTCATAAAACTTCATACAAATATAAAAAAAATTAAATATTATGTTTTAAGACACATAGCAGACAAATAATACATAAGTATGCAAAACACATTACTTGATACTGATTCCAAAGGTGATTTTGTGGCAAAAAATAAAAAACAATAATACAGCAATGTTTAAACTATCATAAAAAAGCAGATATGTATTATAGTCAAGCTTTGCTTACCATTTGATTTTTCTAATGTTTCTAAAAAGAAATTTATCAACAAAAACAAAGAAACTAATTTGCAGAGTATAGAATAACTAAAAACCTAAAAATTTTAAAAATGTTTAGTAATGTTCGCAGAAAACAAACATCAAAAAAATAGAAAAAGAAAAAAAAATTAATTTTAAATAACAGACATAATCATGTAATTTTTATATCTTTTTATGTATTGTATAATATACCTCAATAACAGTATAACAGATCAAAAACATAACTAATAACAATTAATCGCAAAACAAAATAAAAAAATAAACAAAACAAAATGTTGTTGTAATATAAGACCCAAAGAAAGGGGTAAAAGGTTATCTAAAAGAAGCAAAAAGACCATAGAATAGACATTTTTTGGAAGTAAAATGCTACACTATTTATGATACACACAAATGAAATATATTAAAACTTTGTTTACCAAAATATATATATATATATATATATATATATATATATATATATATATATATACATATATATATATATATATATATATATATATATATATATATATATATATATATATATATATATACATATATATATATATATATATATATATATATATATATATATATATATATATATATATATATATATATATATATATATATATATATAAACTTCTTCGTCGCCTCAAGATATACAAATTTATCTCTATATAATCTCTTAATAAAATAGTTAGCTAAATATCTCAGTATTGTTGACGTATCGTTTCTTTTTATTTCTTTAATTAATTAATTAATGTTGTATAAAATAAAAAGAATACTCTATATCAACCAAATACCTTCTGTATTTTGGCTGCTCATTTCTAAAATAAAATCCTAATGTTTATTCTTGTGTCAAAAACATACTAACTTCAAACATATTAACACATTAATTCTTAATTAAGAATAATTTTTTAAATTTTTAGACTACAATAAGTAAACTAGTAGATGAAAAAAGATGAGACTTACTTTTTGTTACTTGCTGCTTTATGTTATAATCGAAATGTAGAGGAGTAAACCGCTTGGCCGAGTTTTACTGGTTTTCGAGTACAGTTGGCGCACAAATCATGATAAAAAAATCAAATGATTTTGAATCTATTAATTAAGTCATTTTAATTACCATTTCCACTATAACAGAATAATCAAAAAGTGTACTGAACTCGAATTTATTCAAAGTGGCATGTTAGAAACGCTGGAGTGAAAACTAATACGAAGCCGAAAATAGTGTTGCAGTGTTTCTAGTATATTTTTTCTAACGGTAAGTTAAAATAGTGGCTTTGCGATTTGAAAATAGGAGGTTTTAAAATGTGATTTGAAAGCTTTAATTTAATAAATTACTTTCATAAAAGTTGTTTTGATTGACTTTTAACAACTGTTTCAACTCCCAAGACGTAATCACAACAAAAATCATGATTAAGGTAAAATAGTCAACTCTTGCATATCTCAATGTTAACAGGGTGTCTGCCAATATTTTACGGTGAATTTTTCTTGATTTTTCCCTATCATTGTCCTGATTCTGTACCTGTTTTCCCTTACTTAATTTAAAGTAACACAAACTTAACTTCACAAAAAACAGACCTAGATTCGTTTAGAAATATGCTCTTCAATTGCAAAAATATAAACAATAATGCAACTCACATTAAAAGTATCAAAATAAGTTCCTAAAACTGCTGAATAAAATTTTATATTACACATTTAAAACTTACTTAAGTTGCTCAAGTTTGATAAAGAGCCACCTACCCTGATTTCTACCAGATTTTTCTGAAATTTAACCTAATTTTTATAATTATCCCCTGATTTTTTTGAAGATATCATACTTCCCCGACATTTTCCTGTTTTCTCTGATTTGGCAAACACCCTAGATAATGTATAACTATCTAAGTTTTACACAATCTCTACTACTCTATCAAACTATTTTAATAGAAATCCTAATGTTTTAGACAACCCCTTTTATTTTAATCTTTTTTTCTCACCCTTTTTCTTAAGCAATAGATTTATTACGTTCCTAAAAAACTTTTTTTTTGACTTATTTCAAACTTCTAAGATGCCATTTAATTGCTTAAGTATTTTTGCGTAAAAACAAATAGATTTGCTGCTTGTTGCTATTTGTTGCAACAATATTTAAAATATAAAAATGCAAGATATCTGCTTGTAAATCCGGCAAATATACTAACAATTGTTAATATAATCTAGACATTTATTAATTAAATTCTAAACTTGACATTTAACAACACTTGCTTCAAAAAATACAACTTAAAAAATAAGTATTAACTAACTATAAATTTAACTTACTTTTTAGAACTTTTTTCTTATATTTCTAATACTTTGGTTGCTTATGACGTGTTCAAAAAATACGATTGAATAGTTTGTTTTTTTAAGTGGAGTGTGATCGGATAACTTTAAGTTAGGATTTTACGTCGTGTATCTTTAAAAACGCCTGCGTAGAGGGTTCTAATCCTGCTGGTAGTCTCGCACGGTATATATGCAATTTAAGTCGTTACATTATTGGATCGGGGTTGCTTACAGACTTTCTGACTGGGTGTTGCTTGTGAAATGACAAGATCCCTGTAGATTTTTCCAAGGTAATAAAAAAAAAAATTTCACCTTAAAAATTTGTGCCCTCGGAGCATTAGCTCCAACTGCTTCCACTGCTTCGCCTTTAATTGACATACTTATTTGTATTTTTTTTTATTTTTTATATTATGTATAAAGATAAACAATAAATGCAAAATGAAGGACAAAATATTTTTTTTACAAAAAAGCTTCATTTACGGCATTTTAGGATCGTTTTACAGTCTAATCGTATAGATAAAGTGATACCTTTAACTAAAAATGTTTGTTCAAATTAAACAAACAAATCAGTTAACATATTAAGAAAGCTACGATTTTATTTACAATTCACATTGGCTAAAAATTCTTTACATTAAAAACTGGCTGCATAAAAATTAATTTATCATTTTTATTTCATTATTATTGTTGTGAACTAGTTTATCTTGATGATTAAAGAAATAGAATATTGCAATTAGTAAGTAATTTTCGCAAACAAAAATTAATTAACTATTTTTTTTTGCTATTATTAGTAGCAAAACTTCTAACAGTTTTCAATTTTAATTTTTTTAATTTTTTGTTTCTTAAATCTGATTTTTTTAAACAACAGGATTATTTCTGATTATGATAGCGTTAACATTTTTTTGTTTTACGATTTTATTTTTAGTTGTCTACCTCAATTAAAATTTAGAAACATTTTTGTATAAAGTCTGTTCATACTCTGCAAAGTAAAAATAGATGGATTGCTCTGTCTCCGTTGTTTCAAACCCAATCTTCCGAAAGTTTATAAAAAATATAGAGCTTATGAACATCTTGGAAATGAAGAACTCTGCATTTAACTTAGCTGTAGAGTTTCTTACTCATTTGTAATACTTGCTTACAGACAGTTCATTAAGTAGAAATATATTTCCTAAATATGACTTGATTGATAAAAATATACTTTTTATACATAATTGACTAAATCAATGCTCCATTGCCCATTTCAATTTGAGAAAAGTAAAAACTATTTTTGAACGTTTCATTATTTCAGCAAATTTTTGTAACTGATATGATAAAAAGATAAAAAAAGATTTAAACTTTGAAAAATCAATTATCTTTGACAAAGAATAACTAAAAAAAAAGAAGCTGAAGAGTGCTTGTGTGAATGCAATGCTTCTTAAGTAATTATATCTAATATATATTTTTTATAAATTTAATAAGAAAGTCATTTTATTGATTCAGTATTTGTTAATAAAGATTCAGTTAATGTTTAAGTTTCACATGTCACACTTTAAAAACTGTTATATTTAGTTTTAATATTTTATTCGTTCAAACACGTGTGAACTTTAGTTATTATTAATGTCTAATGTTACTTTTTTGTTTTTAAGACAAATTATATGTAGATTTTTGAAGTCGATAGAAGACGTGCTCTTTTACTAAAATATTTATTCTTTTTAAAAAAGTAAAATAGCTTATTGATAAATTTCTTATTATTTGCTTTTGTAATCACATCATAAATCAGTAACCCTAATCTCTAAAACTTTTGCCTAATTAAAAAACATTTTGTTGGAAAAAGATGTCAATAAAAAATTCACTTTGTAGTTCAGTTGCAAAAAAAAATATTTTTGATTTTTTAATTTTTTGTAATTAAATAAATTTTACATTTTCTATAAAATACTATTTTAAAAAATCGGTAATTCCTGTGTGTCATATGATTTAAACTAATTAAATTATTTTTACATTTACTATAAAATATTATTCGAAAAAATTGGTAACTCCTGTGTGTCATAGGATTTAATCTAATTAATAATGAGCAAAACTCTTAGTCCTAGGAGTTAAATGAATCAGTTGACATACAACGAGCTTAGTAAACACAGATATAAAAGTTGAATATAATCAACGAAGTAAACACTCATCAAAAATTTTTAAATAACTTTTGGCAAAGATTTTTTTTGAACACGATTCTAATTAGGGATCTTTATTTTAAAGGGATATTATTTGGTTTATTAACGTTAATAGGTTTTTAACTTATTCAAGATACATTTATGATTTTAAACTGATCAAAAATTTCTATTTTATATTTTTTTTGTTTTGTTTTGTTTTTTGTTTTGTTTTTATAAAAACTTTAGTTTATTTTTTTGTTAGATAAATTGCGATACCAAATGGTAAATCTTTAATGGATTTTGTGCTAAGTAATCAGAAGTTTAGGCTCGAAGTTAGTAAGTTAGTGGGAGTTGATTGGGAGCATCTCGGAATTTGTTTATTAATCCCTGATAATGAGTTAAAAATTATAAAAAATGATAATAATGGAACAGTCATGCAAGCATATGCAATGTTAACTAAATGGTATGAGTCCAATGAAAACCTTACCTTGGAAAAACTGAAGTCTGGATTAAAAGACATGGAGAGAAAAGATCTGGCAAAAAAAGTTGATGAACTTGCAGGTAAAATTATTTTATCATAAGTTTGTTCTATTTAATGATTAGATAAAGTTCTCCCTAATATATATATATATATATATATATATATATATATATATATATATATATATATATATATATATATATATATATATATATATATATATATATATATATATATATATATATATATATATATATATATATATATATATATATATATATATATATATATATATATATATATATATATATATATATATATATATATATATATATATATATATATAGGTTAAATTATTACAGTTGAAAATATACTTTAGATATTATTATTCATTTTGTGTTAGCTCCGTAAAAAAGAATTAACGATTTACTTTTTGGTATTTGGTTTTTATTGCTTCATTGTAATAGTTTAAGAAATGTTCTTAAAACCTTGATAAAAATTGATATTAAGTTACCTTATATTAATATGATATAATCGAGTAAAGTATTTTTGTTTTTTGGGGTAAAATAGTAACTGATATTATATTGGTCTTTTAAAAATAGTTTCGAATACTTGTTCACATGGTAAAGACAACTTTGGCCAAAAAATAGTTGATGAAACAAATATTAAGATTGATTTTGAATTCCTACATTAAGATACTCGCCTGAACATATTTTTTTATTATGTATATCTTAACTACATTAATTCCTTGAACATGCATCAAAAATTTATAAGTTACTCGTATAGAGGCAAGTTTACTATAAAATGTCTGCTAAGCATCTACTTTGCACATCAAAAAGCAAACAAACGGGATGTTCTTAATGGCATTTCTTTAATTACAAAATGATTATTTCAAATTTTTTTCTGAGGTATTTTCTGTGATCAGACTGTTAGGTCTACATGGATCACCTTAGTAACTAAAAAAATATATATTAATATATAAAAAAATAAACTTTCATAAATATAACAAAATAATTGTAAACAACAAATCATACGCGTTTTGCAAGGAATTGTTACGATAATAATAAATAAGAAACGATAAAAATAAAAAAGAAAATCGAAAAAACGAACACCATATAAAATAGTACTTTTAATAGGCAATTAAGTCAAGATATGCTTTCTTCATTGAAAATGTTTGTAATTTTTATCTTTCGTATTTGTTTAAAACATTGATTTATTTTCATTTATTTTTTATTTTCATTTCTTTCTTAAATTATAGTTTCACTTTGTTTTGAATCTTTTATAAACATTTTGTTTTTTTATAAAATTTTTTTTTGAAAATGCATTCCATTCTATTGAAATATGTTTATACATGATATGAACATAACTAGATCATGATTTTTTATACAAGGTATGAACAAGATCATAATCTTTTGTGATACATTTTACTATCTCTTGTATTATTTTTGCGTTTGTGCTTTTGGCTAATAGAAAATGCGCTATTTTAAAAACAATTTCGCTGATTTTGTTATTAGTATAATTTTTGTTAATTTTGTGAAAGAACTTATCGGATCTTTTTATAATTTAAGACCCTCTAGTTATGCTATGGCACAAGAGCACGTTTAGGTTCGTTATACATAACATATATCTCGATACAAAGACTTTTATAGTTATATTTATCCTTATATTTTTTGAGATAAAAGTCAATTTTTTGTATTTACATTTTTGTTTTTCTCCAAAATTATACCTTGTCATTTTCCATTTTATTTTTCTATTCAATTGGTAAGAAACTAAGTAAATTTTTCGAGTTGTAATAAAGTTTAGTTAAAATTAAGAATTGGTTTTCTTTCTTAAGTACGATTTTCACGTAACCATATTCCGTGACACCTATTAATTTATATTAATGCTAAGTAAATCTTAGCGATATTCGTTCTGTAATTGAATGTCGACTCCACTTTTATAAATGAACACTCCAAGTTTTATAAATGAAGAATTCCCTGCGAGAAAAATTTTTTTATCATCAGCGTATTGCTGTATTTTAGTTTCATTTATCCATTATTTTAATCTTTTAATTTTTGTTTTGTTTTGTCGAATATAGATATGGAAATTTACAGATCATTCAAGATTTTAGGCCTAGTCTTGTAAATAAAGTTATACCAGCATCTGATTTTATTAAAGCATTACTAAAGATAAAACTTTTATTAAAAATTTTTTAGATTTATTTAGTACAGACATTAAAAAAGCTATGTGTTTTGTGGAGAAATGTAACTAAGTTTAGTTAAAATTGTTGGTTGTTTCTTTGTTGTTGGGTTTCTTTCTTAAGTACCGATCTAAATTTAAAATATATCTGAATTGCCTGATGATGTTATAATAAATGAAAGTAATTCAACTTTATATAAATTTGACGCAGCTTTTTTCATTAAAAAAATTACCAGGATTTGATGAAATATCCAGTAACATCCTAATCATCCTAATGATTAGGATGTTACTGATTAATAAAACATCCTAAAAAAACAAAAAAAACATCCTAATGATTAATAAAACATCCTAAAAAAACAAAAAAAAAAAGAAGCATTAAAATACTTTTATTTAAAATTGTAAAACTATCTTTAATTCAAGCAATATTTCTAGGTGTACTTAAAGAGTGTGCTTAATATATCAAAATAATGATCTCTCGAAACTTACGTCTAAAGATGCATATTAGGACTTTCTGTATTCTCAAATATCTTCATCCGTGTAAACTTGAAATCTTTATAATAGAATCTATAACAATCTATGCATAGATTTAATTATAAGTTATACGTTCAAAGAATTTTGAGAATACCGAAAGTACCGATATACGCCTATTGTAAGGTACGAAATATGAAACCTGGATAAGAACCCTTACATAAATTAGTCATATCACTATTTACAAAAAAAAAGTTGTTTAAATAAAACAACTCGGTTTTTAGAAAAATCATTTAACTGAATAAGCAAATATTAAGCAAGTTGATCAATTGACTAAAGTGTTTATCAATTTAATTTAAGACATTTGACACCGTCGACGACTGTATTCTCTAAAAAAAGCTAAAATGTTAAGGGGTAAAAAATATAGAACATTATTGGATAAAAAGCTACATAACTAATAGAAATCGGAATAGGCTTTAACTTGCGATATTTTGAAATTGAAACATTAAAAACGCAGTTAAAAAAAGATAAAAAAAAAACTTAACGGTGATTTACATTGATATTAGAAGCATAATTGTAAAAATAGACAAACTGAAAAAATTTCTTTTAGAATGCAAATTTTTTAACATAATTTGTCTTACAGAAAAATGGGTTTAACTCAAACTTTTATATTCCTAAATAATTAATTATTTTATTTGAGAGAACTTTGGTCAAAAGGGGATGAGGAATTATAGTTTATGTTTGTAATGACCACGATATTAAAATTAGTGAAGACCTTTCGATCTAAATTTTAGACAGTGAGGTTTTAACAAATGAGACATGAATTAAAAATACAAATAAAAAATTTTATATTCATATTATAGGCCACCTGATAGCGATGTTATAGAATTTTCAAATTATTTGCAACGAATTCTTATTTAAAACAATGATAAACAAAAAGATTATTTTAAATTGGTGACCTTAACATGTTAAGGTTATCAATTCAGAATAATATTGTACTATTTATATACTATCTATGATCAATGATAGTTTAAAAAACAATTAACACCCTAATTCTAAAATCTTTTTTGACAACATGTTTCTAGATATTATTTTTCTAATCAATAACAGACCAACTCGTGTTACAACAATATCCATTAATGCTATAGATAATGTTTTAACAAACTTTTTTTTAGATAAGTTCTAATTCTTAGATAAGAAATAATTGAAACTGTTATGTCGGATCACTTTTCAATTTTTTTATTTTTTTTTTGCTGTTGAAGGTGCAAACATGAACGACAATTCTGAAATCAAAACCTTGAAACAATAAATTAATGTACATTCTATTCTTAAATTTAAAAAATTTTATCAATAATAAATTGAATAAACTTATATTAAAAATGTGACCTTGGACACACAAATTCCTCTAATAACCATTTTATTTCTTTACATCTTTCTTGAATATTATAACAAACAATTCCCAGTACCCAGTAAACACAGAAACGTATAATAAACGTGTTATTTACGTTTTACGGGGCACGTGTTTTTAACGTAGAAAAGTTGTCTATATGAAATAAGCTTTTCACGTATTTCTAGGACGTGTTTTACACGTTTAATTGAAACCTATTTTAAACAATTTTTAGACGTTTATTAAACGTTTTATTCACCTTTTTTGACACGTGTATTTAGGGTGGCAAAATCCTCTATTTGAAATAAGCTTTTCACAAGTTTTTAGCACGTGTTTTTTAGGTCTCATTAAAACCTATTTTAAACGGGTTTTTTTGCGTTTTTATTAGACGGTAATAATATATATTTGACTCGAAATATTTAAAAACGGACAATTTTTGATGAGTATAAGTGGCAGTAAAAAGCTTTGCGTATATATAAAAAAAGTATAAAAGAAATATTTTTTATTTCATTAGTTAAAAAAACAAAAATACAAACAAAAATTTTATATATATATATATATATATATATATATATATATATATATACACATACAAATATTATATTGTTGTTGTAATTTACATTACAACAATGTCACATCCTTCAGGTTATCTACGGTTCGAGGTGAAAACATTAATTCTCCAAGTTCACCAATAAAAAGAATCGATATCCAGAAGATTTAATGGAATCGATATCTCTTGCCAAATTTGTTTGATACTACTGCAGCTAAAACGAAATTATAGTAAATCAAATCAAATAATGAAACTAGTAAATGACACTAATAATCAGAATAATATTTTGTCATAGAACAAAATTTGTTTTTACATGTATAATACTTAAGTAAATATTTAGACTTTACCAAAAGATTTTAATATTTACCGAAACTCGCTTCGCCGAATCTTTTTAAACTTTTGCACTGATTTCCCAATTATACACTCTTCAACGAAAAAGACAAGTCTCGTTATTGCACTTATTGCTGATTTACAAAGATGTTTTCCTACCAAGTTGT